TAAGGATGCTTGCCTAAATCCTTTCAAAAAAATATCGTCATAATTTTGACGGGTTACACACTAATTGTTAATTAGAATTTTGACATAATTTCGGTTATGACAGGTTTCAAAATTTGTCAGAATTTCGACAGATTATTTACTAATAGTTTATTATAATTCGACAGAATTTAGACAGTCACTAAGAGATTTCAGCAAGCAACCTTAATGCTGACTGGTCTCAAAAAAAAGCTCTTTATATTAAAGTGCGAGAGCATCCTAATTTTATATTGGAAATGTTAGCAATCGAGTTTGGAATAAAATCCAACACTGTTCATGATATTCTTGCAGAAAAAGAAATTTGGTTAGCCTTAGATAAAAATTCGCCACTTGCTAATTCTAAGCATTGTAGAACTGTGTGATTTCCTACTGTTAAGTCAGCACTTGCTTTGTGAATTGAACATGCTATACACCATGAACAAGTTCTTATGGGGAAATATTAAAAGTTAAAGCACAAGAATTTGCAGACAGAATAGAAATTAATGATTTCAAAGTTTCTCCTGGGTGGATTACGAATTTCAAAAAACATCACAACTTAAGTCAATTTGCTCGTCAAGGGAAAGGTAATTCTGTACCTTTGGAAAATTTGTCATGTTTTTGTAATAAACTACAACAACTTATTCAATCATATCCAGTTGAAGACATTTTCAATTGTGATGAAAATGCACTCTTTTATCGTCTGGATTAAGGATGCTTGCCTAAATTCTTTCAGAAAATATCATCATAATTTTGACGGATTATACACTAATTGTTAATTAGAATTTCGACATAATTTCAGTTACGATGGGTTTCAAAATTCGTCAGAATTTCAACGGATTATTTACTAATAGTTTATTATAATTTCAACAGAATTTAGACAGTCACTAAGGGATTTTGGCAAGCAATCTTAGTCTGGATCCTGTTAAAATACTAGCGCACGATCTTTTAATAGGACAAAAGAAAACAAAAGATTGCATTATACTAATATTTACTGTGAGTGCTACAGGAGAGAAATTGAAACCTCTATTAATTCACAAATATCAAAATCCACGACCACTTTATGGAATCGACAAAGATACTCTGGCAGTTCATTATTATTGGAACTCAACAACGTGGATACAAACTTCAATTTTCAATCATTGGCTTTGTAAACTTAATGAAATTATACGCAAATCTCATCGAAATATTTTATTACTCGTAAACAATGCCTTCTCACACAAAATTAATGATAATATCACGTTATCAAATATTACAGTGCATTTTTTACCTCCCAATTGCACGGTACATCTTCAGCTGTGTGATGCTGGCATTATTTATAATTTCAAAAGTCAATATCGAAGACTTTATTGTATTGATCAAATTTAAAAGTATGATAACACTATTGCTCAAAGCCAGTCTCTTTTAACTACTCCTCAAATCAATATTCGTGAAGCTATCGAATTTATTGGAATCGCATGGAATCAAGTAACCACTGAGACAATAACACATGCATGGCAAAAAATGGGTATCCTACCTAATAGTATCACAGTCGTCGAAACTGAAGAAAGTGTTAATTTATCAATGAATGCAGAGTTGATTGAACTCGTTAATCAATTTTCTGTTGACACTCAAGATATTAGAATGGAAATGGCAGAATTTGTTAATTTGAAAAATTCCGTCTCTGTACATGATATGCTGACAACTGAGTCAATTATTGCAATAATAGAAGGAGAAGAATTATCAGAGTTAGAGGACTTTCCAATAGCCAAATTCATTTCTCATAAATTAGCTCTCGAGTATGTTAATTCTTTACTTTATATATTAGTCAAGATTGTGACAATGAACTTGATGTTGATATTACTTTCTTATCTAACTTAAGAAAGTTAAAGAGAATAATTGAGACTAAACATCAGAATACGTTACAGCAAACTAGTATTCTTTCATTTACCATTAATTAATAAAGTTTATATTGTCGAATTGTAAGCTGAAAATTTGTGCAAATTTATATATAAATTCAGCTTAGTGTGAAATTTTATAAAATGAAAATGATAAGCTGAATAAATTGTCTCTGCTCCTGATCTTTGTCTTATCAAGTTTAACTTGTACTAATAGATGTTATATTTACTTAGTATGTGATAGTTCTATAATAATATAGTACTAATATTCTATAGTAACTTTGGTGATTGTTCAATAATATATAATAAATGCAAGTATTTTAATAAGTTATTATTCAATTAATTAATATACAAATTTTATTAATAATAAACAAGAAACAATTTATTGACTAGCTAGATTTTGTATTGATTAATTGATATCTTTTTTCAAAGCTTCAATTGCACTTTATTTATAATAAATATTTTTTACTAATTAATATTATATTTAAATAAATAATAATAATATTGGATAATTCTATAATATGAATAATGTCTGTAATTTTTATAATTTCTGTAATTTCTACAATTACTGCAATTTGGTTCATATTTTTTTACATGTATATAATTTAAGAAATTATAAGATTATAAAAGAATTATAGAATTATTAAGAATTCTGAATCATAATAGCAATCAATAAATATGCTAATCAGTATTAATTTTTTGGTTATATCAATTCAAAATCTATATAGAACTTTGAAAATAGAAATTTTGAAGTGATGTAATTCAAAGAAACTGTAATAATTAGCATATTTACAGATTGTTATAATTTTTTGAACATAAATTAAATAAATAAATAATAAATAGATTGATTATATGCATTATCATTTATTTTTTTCTTTGAAGTTTACCATAAATATAAATTTAACTTTAAAATTCTTTGCCTATTAGTTTTTCAAAATATATATTTATTTAATAAAAAATGATTTTTTTTGTCAAATCTTAATACAATTTGTATCTCTTGATCTATAAATTCTATTGGAATTATTATTATACTTTTTGGTATAGTATAGATAAGGATAACTATATTTTTCTGACTCATTTGACACAATATTATACCAATGAACCATAGCAAGATTGTATGGATTCTTTGCCAATCCTCGAAAAAACTATAGAAAGAGCAGTATCTTTTGAAAGGAAATATAAAAGTTGATTTATTCAAAAATTGTTAAATTTGAAATTATATTTTATTATTCTTCAAAAGTTGTATTTATCTTTTCATATCAAGTATCTTCATTTGATCTATAATGGCTTTGGTCTTCGATTGAAGTTACTATAATATTACTGAACCATTTTTTGTCATAAAAACTTCCAGATATTCTCAGAATTTTGCTATTTTCCAAATGAACTGCATTATAAACTTTTATACAAAAATCTTTGCTTTTAGATTCTTATAATAATGTATCAAGAAATATATCTAATACAGTAATTATATATAATAATCTTTCAATAAAGTTTAAATGTGATGAACTCTTCAAATTCTTTAATGAAATCACTTTTGCTTTAATGACATCCAAAGATAATTCTTATAATATCTTGTCAAATTTTATAGTTTTACGATAAAATATCTTGCTTGTTGTCAAAGCTAATTCTTTGTACTTTACTTATAAGTATAATTTAGAATTTATAACAAATTGATCACAATTAACTAACTTGACTTACTATATTTACTATCTGCTGAATTATATTTTTTCTATTTGATAATTGATATGAGTTTTTTATATATGACTTGTGAAATGTTTCATATATTTCTGTCAAGAGATTATTCAAGACTGTATATTTGTGAATTATTAGAATTATGTGATAGTGTTATTATGAGTTCTGGACTCAGATAAATAATTTTGTGACATAGATATTCAACTAACATCTATTTTAGTAAATTAATAATTTGATCCAGTTGCTTTAGAATCATGACACTGTATGACTTTTTCTATTTTATTAATTTAGAATAAGTAATACTATTAATAAATATCTTCTTTGTATTTATTTAGTATAATAATAGTTTTATAACAATATAGTACTGATATTCTATAGCAATCTGGTTAAATATTCAGTAGTATATAAGATAAATATTATAACAAGATTTATAATTATAAAATCAATTAATATACAATTTCATTAAATAATAAACAAAAAGTGATTTATTAACTAGCTAGATTTTGTATTGATTAATTAATACCTTTTTCAAAGCTTCAATTATGCTTTATTTATAATAAATATTTCTACTAATATATGTTATTTTATGACTAATTATATAAAACTATAAAAATAAAATTTATAAAATTTGATTAATTAATATATATAAAAATAATGAAAAATACAGAAATTATATAGTTTTTAAAGTTTATGAAAATTATAGAGATTATAAGAATTATGAAAATTATGGAAATTATAAAAATTATAGAAATTAGAAAAGTTTCTAATTGTAATAGCACTAACTATGTAGTTTAGAAAAACTACATTCTATAGTGAATAATAATGAAAAGATTCTTTTAAATTCAGTTGATCAGTCAGCAATGAGAATCTATATCTATTTTCAAAGTTCATTATTAGTTATCCAATTTTTCAAAGTTTAATTAATTTTGCTTTATTTTATCTCAAATTCTTTTAAATCATTTTCAGTAAAT